ACAGTCTTTCAAATAAACTCATCCCCATGCCTTTAGTCTAAAATAACCTCCATAATATACTTCTTATCAATTCCATCCATTATGCTCTAACTTTCTTAATATTACATATGACCCCGGATTTAAAAAATATATCACATTAACCCCCAAAATAATATTTTTTTGAATTTATTTTTTTTCAAAAATATTTTTTTTTAGATTTTTTTTTCCGGCCAGATTTCGGAGTTGACCGCCGGTCTCCGGCGTTGATTTTTTTCTGAATTTTTTCCGGCCTGCGGTCTCTAGCGTTGACTTTTTTTTCCAAATTTTTTTTTTCTTAGAAAAAAATATTTTAAATAATATTACTGTCTTGGCTACTAAATTACCGTCTCAGACAATAATATTACTGTTTGGGACAGTAATATTATGAATATTATTTTTCCGAACAGAAATATTATTAATATTACTGTCTGAGACAGTTAAGTTACTGTTGAAGATAGTAATTTAGCAGCTAAGACAGTAATATTAATTAACATAATTTATTTTAAGGAAAAAAAATTAAAATAAAAAGTCAATTAACAGTTAAATTACTGTCTCTGATAGTTAATTAACTGCTGGATACAGTAATTTAGCAGCCAAGACAATAATATTAATTAAAAATGTTTTTTAAGAAAAAAAAATAGTCAATTAACAGTTAAATTACTGTCTCCGACAGTTAAATAACTGCTGGAGACAGTAATTTAGCAACGAATACAGTAATATTAATTAAAATATTTTAAGAAAAAAGGCAATTAACAGTTAAATTACTGTCTCCGACGATTAAATAACCACTGGAGACAGTAATTTAGCAGTCAAGACAGTAATATTATTTTTGAAGAAAAAAAAAATCAATTAACAGTTAAATTACTGTCTCCGACAGTTAAATAACTGTTGGAGACAGTAATTTAGTAGCCAAGACAGTAATATTAATTAAAATATTTTTGTAAGAAGAAACAAAATTATAAAAAAAAAAAAAAGTCAACGCCGGGGACCCAGCAGTCAACGACGATTGACCTTCCGGAAAAATATATATTGATTTAACATTAGCAATAATTTTACTTTATATTTTGGAAACATGTGGGAAGAAGAATTAATTTACGAAATTTTGTCTTGCAACAAATATTCATATTCCATGTAATGAAATACAATTAAGCAATTTTCTATACATAATTTGCACAAACTAAATTTCGATTTAAATAGATTTATATTCTTAATTAGAATTAATTATATACCCGATACATAATTCTAAAATTTTACATCATTATTAATTAATATTAAGGAAACAAAATATATATTGTGCGAAAATACATATAAAATAAATATCCATACATACATTACGAAAATATATATCCGATATATAAAATATCCATATGTATTTTATATATGGTTAATAAATTTTACATATATTATATGGAAACAATATATAATTTTGTACATTATTGTACATGTGAAAATTTGTATATATCCGATTTGCTTATTGTACATTATTACAATAACAATTAAATATAATTATGTACAGGATTTTACACTTTTACATTTAATTGTTGCATAGATTATACGGTTTTAATTAAAACAATAAAGACAGTAAATACATAGTATTTAACACGGTTTTTATTAAAACAATAAAGACAGTAAATACATAGTTTTTAACGATAAATATTGACATTATATAGGCTTAGATGCATATAACATTAGTTTCACAACTATCAAAGCAATACATATCTATGTATCAGATATATATATAACATCCATGTAAAGATTAGTTGTTTAGATATATAACATCTATGG